CGGGGATCGTGCAGTCATTCAAGGCTCGGTAATCACCACAGGGTCGCCAGTCACCGGATTTCTTTGGCACCATATGCAGAGGGGATGACCATGCACTAGAGGAGGGACGAATAATGCCTAAATCTAACATGTGTTGGAACTCACACTTAGCGACAGCAAGGCGGTCGGGTGCCAGACGGCGAGGCTTAGCGTGGACGGGGTGGCCATCTGTGACTATGCGGTGTGTCACATTGTGCTTGACAGGCGAGTCACCAGTGGTCGGTCGGACAAGGTCAGGAAACTCACTCAGCAGGGCAGAATACTCACTAGGGCTATCAGTGTCCAGCAGGTTGGTAGCGGAGGTGCTGACATCCGAGGCGGATCCGACAACGGCAAGTTGAGTAGTGGAGTCCCGGAGACATCTGGCGGCCAGGTCGACAGTGAGTTGGAAGTGGCCAAGGAAATCCGCACCCAGGATCGGATAGCTGACGTCAGCAACGACGAAGACCCATTTGAAAGTGCGTCGGAGACCTAAGTCTAAATCTAGCAGCTGCTGACCGTACGTGGCGATGCTGCTCTGATTCGCTGCACGGAGGCGAGGGCTATTGCGATGAACACGACGAGACAGAGTTACGAATGACGGAGGAAGAACACTGACGGCGGCGCCGGTGTCGACAAGGAACTCGACGGACTGGGAGCGATCCTTGACGAATAGTAGGCGACCGGTAGCGGTATTCGAGGGGCCAACCACACTAGCGGTCGCGACTAGTGGCTGGCCTTCCCGTTTCCCGACAGGAATCGGCAGGGGTCTCGGCATTTGTTCGCCTTCGCACCGAACGCACGGTGATACCAGCAAAGGTCGTCGTGATTGTCACGGCCGGGAGACCTGGAGGCACTTGGGTGGCGTGACGGTGGCCCGGGACTACGCTCTCGTTGGCGGCCACGCTGGGAAGGGGCACCGGTGGCACGGGTCATCACATTCACAGCGGACGTCAGCTTGGCGAGTTCAGCTCGGAGCTGGGCCATCTCAGCCCTGTCAGCGGTGCAGGCCTGTTCCGCATCTGTGGACGCTGTAGATCTACATGATAAGGCCGTATACGTACTAGACCGAGCAGGGCTAGGGGCTTCACTCAGAGCGTGAACACTTGTACCGGTGAGTGGGGTTGAGCACGTGCTTTCAACCACCTTGTCAGCAAGCGCTGCAAGTTCGTCCAGGCTGAGGCTTGCAGGTGTTGCAGCCAGAATCAGGCGGACCGTCACGGGCAAACGCTGTACAAATAGCTCGCGCAGGATAGTTGGGTCTAGCGACTTACTGCCTAAAAGCTGTTGCATGCGTCGGAGGACGCGACTTGGTCGGCTGTCCCCGATGTCGGCTGTTGAGAGTAGCTCACGCAACCGTGCCTGATCGGACTTTTGTGTGCGTGCGGTGAGCGCCTCTTTCAGGACTTGGTACGGCTCCTCGGCTGGCGGCGCTAGGAGCAAGTCCCGAATCTCAGCGGCGTATTCAGGAGCCAGCGAACTCACGACGACATTATACTTGGCCCGCGGGTTGGTGATGCGATGGTTGGCAAAATGCGCTTCTGCCTGTGCAAACCAAAGCTGCGGATCGCCGGGCCAGTACTGCGGCAGTCGGAAGGTGATGGCAGACACCGGACGGTCCGGTGCGTCGTGTTGGTCGTTGCGGGCGAGTGGTTGGTTTTGGGCCGGGGCGGAGGAGCTAGCGGCAGCTGAAGCTCCAGAGGCGGAAGCGGAAGAACCATCGTCGCTGGACATATTGCACTTTACTCACGTCGGGGGTCACCAATTTAGTAGTCTAGATACAGTGCAACGAGTGTTAGTTTCCAAGATCTTTACAAGACTGGCGAACACTAAATGTCATGAAGAAAGTGAAGAGAAAGGAGGTTTATATAGGAAAGAGATTGTGATAGAAGACTGTGCAATGAAGTTTGTTGTTTTGTTAGATATCTGACGTGTGCTGTTTGGAAGAAGTGTTTGGATGCAAACAGAACTTACAAGAGATGAGTAAAGACTACTTTTCTACAATAGCGTTGTAGGCGAGGAGTGCGTAACATCAAAAGATGAAGTAATGTGTATTGGAACTATGCTAGCCAAACATTACGTAATTATTATGGTAGCGAAGTACGTGTAGTAGGTATTACAATGTGTGCCAGAGTATGGTGAATCAGTGTTTGTGATGATGAGGAAAATATGACGTGTACATGCAAACAAATGATGATGTCATGATGCGAGAACGTCAGAGACGCTACAAGTTTCCCGGTTCAGATGCCTGGTCTGATGTCTGGTCCACGCCAGACAGATTTTTCGGCCGCGTGGGAAATCCTGAACGGCTCAAGATCGGGGCGATAATAATTGCCTGCATGCAATACTGTGGACTGTATCAAAAAGTATTCTTTCTAGACCAAAGAGTGGTATATTTGATAACATTTAATAACGATAGAATTTTTTTTTTTTACGATGCTTCTCCAGACGTTTCGTTGTTCTGAACAACATCGTCAGTGGATAAAGAAAGATTCTTTATCCACTGACGATGTTGTTCAGAACAACGAAACGTCTGGAGAAGCATCGTAAAAAAAAAAAATTCTATCGTTATTAAATGTTATCAAATATACCACTCTTTGGTCTAGAAAGAATACTTTTTGATATTACAATGAGAGTGAATAATCAACGGCTTGTCCACCAACTGTGGACTGTGTTGGAGTGCAAGTTTTCGACAAATCTGGGCCGAGTTTCTTGTACGAATGGTCAGCCAAGTACAAGTATCGACTGGAAAAGTCGGCTAATTATTTTAAGTGCTAGCACGTGGTTGAGAGGGCCTCCAACCGCTTTTCACCATGACAGACCGTGACCTTGCTGCACTGCACTGGGTGGCTAGCCTGTTCACGCCTTTGGCCATGGCTGTAGCTCGTGTTTAGGCCGCGGTCTCACCACTCTTTATTTTGGAGGATGACCCCTGTGACCCCTGTGCCCACTTGGGCCCCGTCGTGGATGGAAGGAGAAGTAGGGATCTGGAAAAGAGCTAGAAAGAGAGAGGAGTAGAGAGAGAGAAGAGCGATTTATCACAGTGGATTGAGAATGGATTCGAAAACGAAGAGCCGCATCGCTATCTGTATTTTATTATGTACAATGGTGATGATTTAAACAATCGACGAGGAGACAATAGTCGTAAAATGGCAATAACTTAGATATGTTGTGCACTCATAACAACAGGAAAAAATGAAGAAAGTCAAGTTCCATAACGTTTTCTTGTGACTGTCATCAGTGGAACGCCGTCACATAAAAATGTAATAACTAAAACACACACTTATATACATGTAGCTAACATGGTTTCAGGTAGAAATACAGCAGCCAGCAAGTACAAAAAGCGAAGTTTGCAACTTTGCAAAGAAAACGTTTAATCACTCACACGCACCATTACATTCATTCACACAGTATCACATTCATCTGCCACTACCTTTCTCACATACACTATATTCACACATTTGCAAAGGTGCAAACTTCGCTTTTTGTACTTGCTGGCTGCTGTATTTCTACCTGAAACCATATTAGCTACATGTACTATAAGTGTGTGTTTTAGTTATTACATTTTTATGTGACGGCGTTCCACTGATGACAGTCACAAGAAAACGTTATGGAACTTGACTTTCTTCATTTTTGCTGTTGTTATGAGTACACAATTTAATGGTGATGATCCGAATAATTTCCCCTGAGAATCACCTCACTTTGCCGATGGTGACAAATACCAGGCTTTGTCGCCGGAGGAAGCGAGACGTTTACGACTTTGTTGATGAAGACGATACTGAGGAGGATCTGCTGGCAATCTTGCCCTTGACAATGTTTGGCAGGAGAAAACGGCGTTTTTGGTGCGCCCTTCGCAGTCCCGGTGCCTGGAACGATGACGTTATCCAGCACTGGGCCACCATGGGCACATATATGAGTGGGATGTCTAGTGTGACTGGGAGAACGAGCCCCCGGCACCGGCTTCATTCGCAGCAAACTTTTGCGAAGATCCAGGCTCGTTTGCTCGTGTCCTTTTTCATTGTCGTCTGATATCGCGTTTTTGCTTCGTACCGCAGCTCGAGCAATGGCGCTCCATTACCATGCTCCAACTATCCATGGCTGACAACAAAAACCTTTAAAAAAACACTTCACACAACTACAATACAAGAGAAGAAGAAACTACCTGACTACAACAAACGTCAACTCAAGTTCTTCAACTCCTCTTGCACTCTTGCACTTCAGCCAAAATTATTCAGCCACTTTCAGCTTTTCAGCGCTTCCAAAACTTTGCAAAAGGGCTGAAAGCTGAAAGTGGCTGGTGCCCCGATTTTCAGCCGTTTCCGTGGAAACCTCAGCCAAAAAAAGCGCTTTTTTTGGCTGAAAGGCTGAATCGGGCTCGGTGTGACCGCGGCCTTTGAGCTCAGCTGTCTCATTTCCGCTGTCAGACTACAACGCGACTTGCATGGCAAAGGCGAAGGGGAGTCGAACCATCGCTGTTGGTGACGGCCTGACGGCAAGGCAGTGATCATGGTGATAGTATACTTCGACTTAGTTCAGTGAGGGCAAATTCACGTAAAGCCGTGAGATCCGTAGATCCACTATTTCATGTGTAGATCTACACGACTACAGACAGTATTAGTACTATAGTAGTGGGATCTACACGACTCCCTGATCATGACATGAGTGATCTACACTACATGTATGTAGAGATCTGGGTATACCCACTTATGTGTATGTAGAGATCTACAGTAACAGGATCACTAAACCATGGTCCATGGAAAACAAAGACAAAGTCAATATGAATGAGTCATAATTATTTTATCTGTCTGTCGTCGGGTAGTACTTCAGTCTTCAGCAACCGTGTTGACCAGGCCAGGCCGGGGAGTCGTAAAATCCCTTTAGGCTTTACGATTCCCTGGTTTAGACGTAGATCTACTAGTACTAGTACTAGTAGTAGGTGTCGCACTTCACGATCGTCCTTCGTGACTTCGTCCATTACTTTGTTTTCGTCTCTTTCAAGACTTTGTCCCTGGTCGCTTACAATTATTCTATAGTGAGTGGTCGGCGGTACGCGAGTTGCTGGAATGGCCGCTGAGGAGAATGCGGTGTTCACCGCTTTGGGCTTGAACCAGGCTGAAGTGCCCTATCTGGGTACATTGGACGTGAATGAAACAGAGGATGAGTTGGGTCGAGGCTCATTTGCTGTGGTGTACAAGTCCAAATGGTGTGGATTGAAGGTGGCCGCAAAGGCACTTCATTCTATCCTGATTGATCGAAGAAACCAAGGACGCGACGTCGTACTGCATGATTTTGGAGCAGAGATTGCACGCATGGCACGTCTTCGCCACCCACATCTGTGTCCCATTTTCGGCGTGGGCATGGTCGGAACAACTCCAGCCATTGTGGTGGAATTGATGTCCGACACACTGGAAACAATGAGCGTTGGTGCACGCAGACAGGACTTGCTTCAGCTGATGCGCTACATCGAACACACTGCTGCAGGTCTTCGCTACTTGCACTCCATCCCGATGGTGCATCGCGACTTGAAGCCAAGCAATGTCCTCGTTGCCAATAGTGTGGCCAAAATCACGGATTTCGGCGTCTCCAAGCTACTGCCTAGCGTTGCCGATCAGTTCCGTGAAGCCGCTCAGTCCATGACCCGACAGCCTGGTACACCGTTATTCATGCCGCCAGAGGCGTTGCAAGAGACGGAATCTGGCCGAGCAAGGTACGATCTTTCGCTTGACGTCTTTTCGTTCGGAGTGACGGCAATGAGCGTGCTGAGCGGTGTGATGCCCTCCATTGAGCTCATGTTCGCACCAAGATCGCGCCAGGCAGCTGACGGCAGCCACGTCGCTATACCCGAGCTGGAGCGGCGACGCGCGGAGTTTGCTCGCATCCCTGACGGCCACCCGCTGAAGGACCTGCTGAGACGCTGTCTTGCTGACCCACCGGCCCGTCGACCAGATGCAGAGGAGATTCACGAATTCGTCCAGGGTGTTGTTCAGTTCTTGTCCTCATTGCCGCAGGTACGTGTGTGTTGAATTGTTAGAACTACAGTGTAGGTTAAAAGAGGATAAATACGAAATGACGTCAATGTTGTATTGTCGTGGCACGAGTCCCCAAGAATTATTAGAGCTTCATAGCATTCAACTTCCCTTGCCTTGCCACCTGGACCTCGTCATTTTCCTGTGTTGGAACTTCTCGATATCCGAGGGAGGAGGGGGGGGGGGGGGGGGGATGGGGTTGTGAGTAAATCTAGAGTTTCCCCCGGTCGTTGGTTTCAACATTATCTTGAAGCCTGCAGTCCACGAACGTTGAGACGGCCATGTATATGTACGCACATTTCTTCTGTAAAATTTCCTAGGCGTGCGCTACACACTACGTGTGCGCTGCTTACTACGCGTGCGCTGCACTCTACGCGTGCGCTGCACTCTACGCGTGCGCTGCACACTACTAGTGCGCTGCACTCTACACATGCCCTGCACTCTGCGTGGAGCTGCACACTACGAGTGCGCTGCACTCCACGCGCTCGCGCGCGCTGCACACTACGAGTGCGCTGCACTCCACGTGTGCGCTGCACTCCACGCGTGCGCTGCACACTACGAGTGCGCTGCACTCTACGCGTGCGCTGCACTCTACGCGTGCGCTGCACTCTACGCGTGCGCTGCACTCTACGCGCACTCTACGCACTCTACGAGTGTGCTGTACACTGCTAGAGCGCCGCACTCTAAGCGTGCGCTGCACACTACACATGAGCTGCACACTACGCGTGCGCTGCACACTACGAGTGCGCTGCACTCCATGCGTGCGCTGCACACTACGAGTACTCTGCACTCCACGTGTGCGCTGCACTCCACGCGTGCGCTGCACTCTACGCGTGCACTGCGCACTATGAGTGCGCTGCACTCTATGCGTGCGCTGCACACTACACTGATTAAATTGTGGATGAATGCATGCGGGTATAAAATCATTCTCACAATAGACTTCTTAAAACTCGGATGTTCAGCCAATACAGTCGTATTTAAGCAAAGAGAAATGGGAGGCAGAATTTCCCTTCTTGGAACTCTCCGCATCTGAGCCTTCCAAGTTAGAAGGTTGTTGGTTTGCGCTTGGTAGATGTGTAAAAGCTAAGTGTTAGGTGGTTGAATGTTTCAATGTCCTTGTCAGTGTTGTCCCTTGTTGTCGCACTAAAATGAGTAAATTATCGTGTCCGTTCTCAAAGAGAACTCACGACAGTCGCTAACAAACTGTTAAACACTAGCGGCTGGTCACAAGTTCCCAGTTAACTGTGGTCCACAGTGGGTAGCAGCACGGCTGGAAAACCGCTCCCAGGCACAACAAGGTACCTCTTGTATCTCAACGTTGGTCTTTGACCAAACCACTGCGCCTGCCTGTTGTCGCACTATCAGACTGTATAATGTCTCGTCACCTTGGTGGACTGTTAATCATGACTCGTAGCTTACTGGTCCCTTTGACTCTAGACTTCATTTCAATGAAGTCTAAAAGGAATTTTATGGTTATCAAGCAACAGCATCATAGAAAAAAGAGTTTTTTCAACTGAAAATCCCTCTATTCAGTTGCTATTCACGATCTACGCATGCGCTGCAAATGAAAATTCTTTTATGGTTGATGTAAAGGTTATGACGTTTCGAGACAGTCACCCACCCCCTTGTAAATTATTCTGTTGATGGGTGACTGGCCCGAACATCATATTTTTCACATCTACAATTACATCTGGCTTTGGAAATTTTATTTCCATTGCTATAAGGTTCGGCCTCATTACCTCTGTGCTGAGCTGATGAGCCCGCAAAGGTCGAAACAGTTCTGTCCGCAGATTGAGTACATCTACAATTAATGAATATCCAATGCAGCAGAGAGAATCATGAATAGCAACTGGATAGTGCAGTTGTCAGTTGACAAACCACATCTTCTATCACTCCTTCTATTACCACCATTCAATTACAAGCATACGACGAGTGGATTAAATTAATGAGGGGGGGGGGGGTGTTCAGGGAGCAGGTGTTAATGCTCAGTGTCGTGTACTGAACTGAACCACCGTCTTTTCTTATGTAGAGTAAGACTGGCTCAGTCGGATCAGTCAACAGGAAATCTAGAGTTTCCCCAATAATAGAGATACCTTAAACAGCGTGGACAGTCCTTTACGGCACACAATAGCCCTTTTGTTACATTCGTTGTGACAGCATTATCTCAAGGTGTGCAAGATCCACAGCAGCCATTACATACCACAGTACAGTGTGACATTAAAGCCGAGACCTTTGGTCGGTGGAGCCCCTGGTACCTCACCATCACTGCTGCCCAGTGCAGCCCCTGCTCAGTAGCTGTTTGTTTTTGTCCACATAATTATTTATTTTTACGAGCTGGGTTTGTGTATATTAAAATATCAGTTTATATGTAGTATTAACTGTAGTTAACACGCATGTAACGTTCTCTCAGCGCGTGCCCGCCTGCATTTACTGCACATAGCACTCCATATTTACCCGTAGCGATGCCGCTACTTCACACTGCATTCCACATCTACCCTTAGCGCTGTCGTTGCCCACGCACACCGCTGTGCACGTGACACGGGCACGGTTCGCGCCACGAGGGAGCGTGTTCCCCTCTAGCTCTGTCGGCAGCTAAACCTACCAGCGCATCTGACCCCATATGTGCATGCACTCGTGTTCTTTGTTCCTGTTGTTGCTTACCACTCTCACTTGCTGTTTGCTCCAACACTAGCTCTTTGCCAAATTTTCAAAAGTGTCGTTTTCCTGTACCTCCAGCGTTATCCATTCGAGACTATGGCCTCCCCTGCGTTCAGTAAACTCACTGTGCGGGAACCTACGCCTCAACCTCGTGGAACGGGGACTTAGTCCCGCCGGCAAGAAAGCGGAGCTGCTTGCCCGGTTGATACAATCCGAAGTCGGACCCCACGCGTCCTCTGTGACCCCCGCCGAGGCTGCCCGACAAACTGTCGAGGACAGGGAGACCCGCGAACCTACTATGCCTGTCGCCTCCGTGTCCGAACCTACTATGCCTGTCACCTCCGTGTCCGTGGCAATCGCGACTGCCCTGACACCGTTTATGGACCGACTGGACCATTTGGAAGATGCAACACAAACAGCAGCCTCAGCCCCAGGTACGTCCACTGTGCATTTGTCTAGTGTTTCCTGCACCATGCTGCGTGACGACGGGCCTGTAAATATTTGGGCAAACGCACCCCAGACCGTGATCGACAAAATCATCACACACCAATTTGTTGATTTACAACAACTGTTGCCCCCGACCGCCACGGACGTGCCAAGCCCCCACGCTCTAGTGTTGGGCGAGGAGGCACCCGGAAAATTCATGCTGTCCTCCCAGCCACGCATGTCCCGACGCATTTCGGACATCGAACATTGGCTAGAAGCATGTACGATATTCGCAGCCGTCTATCTGGATGCGCATCCGGGCAGAGCAGTAGAACTGTTGGCGTATCAGCACCATATTCTGAACTCCAGCAAGAAATTCACGTTTTCCGCAGTTGCGGAGTATGAACGCGCCTTCCGCCATCACGTCCCAGCCGTCACGCCGTTGGGACACAACACCACAAACACTGTCCACTACCGTGTTCAATGCCCGTGCCGGGCCCTTTCGGTCCAGCTCCGCGGCAGCCCGCTCGTCCACCGACCAGTGTCGCCTCTACAACCGGGGCGTGTGTCGCCGAAACCCCTGTAAGTACGTTCATCAATGCAGCACCTGCAATGTCTCTGGACACAGCGCACGAGATTGTCGCACAGGGCAACCGGCCAGCACGCGTTCCGTTGCACCTACAATCGCCCTGGACGCCCGTTCACTTGGATCGGCTTGAGTCGGCCCTGGCCAAGCACCCTGAACGCGCATTCGTTAACTCTCTTGTGCATGACATGCGTGACGGTGCTGTAATCGGTTACTCCGGTGATCGCTCTCATTTTGATGCTCCCAATTTAGTCTCTGCATTTAAGAACCCCCAAGCTGTCTCTACTTACCTGTCTAATGAATGCATCGAGGGTCATATGGCCGGCCCGTACACCCACTTACCTCACGCAGATCTGCGCTGCTCTGGTGTAGGCGTGGTCCCCAAGAAGTCGGGTAAACTCCGCTTAATTTTGCATTTATCTGCGCCTCAGGGCACTAGCATTAATGACGGTATAAGCCAAGACGAATTTTCTCTGCACTATATGACTATTCCGACTATGCCCCTTGGCCCCGTCCGACTGGCCCTTGCTGGGCATTCACTGGGACAACGCATTCTACGTTGACAAATTCCTATCCTTTGGCCTTCGGTCCTCAACATTTCTGTTCAACAGCTTCGCCGACGCCCTTTGCTGGGTAGCCACGAATAGATTCAATGTGCATGACCTGCTCCACTACCTCGATGATTTCCTCACAGTTCAACCCCCACAGCCGCCAAACTATGCTCGTCGGCACTTTCTCACGTTACTCGCAGTCATGGAGCACGTGCAAGTTCCGTTAGCCAAGGGCCCTGACACGGTGTGCCCACCGTCCACAATTGTCACATTTTTGGGCATAGAGTTAGATTCCCAAGCATGGGAGATGCGGCTGCCAGCCTCAAAGCTGTTGGAACTAAAGAGCACCCTTGACTCCTGGGTACACCGAGTACAGTGCACCAAACGGGAATTGTTCTCGTTGGCAAGCTCTTTGTCATTTGACGCCAAAGTAGTACCGCCCATGCGCACTTACTGCCGCCGGCTCTTCGACGAGGCCAGCCAGTTCACGTCCCTTGACAGTACCCAGCGCCGGAACCAAGAGGCTCTAAACGATATATCCTGGTGGCACGCTCGCATTGAGTCATGGAACGGCCGATCACTACTGCCAGACCCATTCTGGTGCAAACCCACCGAGATGCAGCTGTTCACGGATGCCTCTGACTGTGGCTATGGCTTGTTCTGTGGCAAAGAATGGGTGTACGGCCAATGGGAGGCACTCCACAAGGATCTGTCCATAGAATGGCGCGAATTGTTTCCCATCGCCCTTATCTGCGTGACGC